GGTAGCTTCGTGCCCGAGCAGACATGACACGAGCAACTGAGAGCATGTGTGAGAGCCGTGCAACAGTCAAACGAGCCAAGTTGTTTCCGCTGCAGCCCTTCGGTTTTCGCAGCTCTTGGGAAATGAGCCAAGTTGTTTCTGCTGCAGCCCTTCGGTTTTCGCAGCTCTTGATAGCTTGCATCCTGATCTGCTTTCGCGATGGCAAGGCTCACGAAGACGATAGCGGTGACTCTCATGGCCATGCTCGCTGCAGTCCTCCAGGGCTGTGGATGCAACACGAGCGACCTTGCCAGCTGCACCAGCAGCGCAAGTGGCTGTGACGGACTGACCACCTACATGAACTGCGTGAAAGATGCCGGCTGCTGCGATTACGAGTCCGGCGGGGCTAAGGTCAAGGACGGCTTCCAAGCGATGGTGGATCTTATCAATCTCGTGCCAGGAACTGACTGCACCTTGAATAGCCCTTGCTAAGCCGATCGGCCAGAGGCGTGCTGGGGTGTGCAGGACAACCGTCACATGTGTAGATCTCCCTGCAGCTGTCCCGCAGTCCTGTGCAGCACTAGCACGACCAAGCATGATGCTGTGGCGTCGCAATGCTCGGCGCCACGTCCATGCAGCGCTTGCATTTTCAGCACCGGGTGAGGGGGGAACTATGAAAAAGACGCCAAGCCTTGCTCACGTAGCTATGGGTTCATTGGGGTTCAGAGCTTACGAGCCCGCGCCCGAGCCCAGTGTTGCGACAGTTGAATTCACAGCTCCAAACTCCTAACCTCATAGCGTGACACACTGTTGTGAAAGCATTGCAGCCACGAAGCCGATGCGCCCATGCATACCCCGGCGGGACTTCAGCTGAAGACCATATGAACTAATTTAAGGGCTCGGCTGAAGCTCAGAAGGTGTTCCTGATACTTGAGTCTGGTGAAGCCTTAGACTTTCAGTTTCTGATTGTTACCCCCCCCCAACCCGAAACCCTAAACCCTAAAGGCCTGAATCGTAGCTCGAGCCTCCACTAGGCACCGGCGCTACTTGGAAGGAGCCCGGCGAAGCGAAAGGCTCTCCACTCTATGGCTTCGGAATCTATCTCGCAGACGCCCGGGCTGAGAGTGGGGAGAAGCTTCAGGATGCAGTACAAGTTTCAAGTCTCAAAAGCTCAGGGATTGAGGTCCAGGGTTTAGATTCCATGGATTGAGGGATTTTGCTTTCGAGCTTTCGGCTTTGAGACCGTGGGGTTCTTGGTCACTTGGGGTTTTGACCGCACTTTCAGTCAAGAACTACGGGCCGGCGGTCAGAAGGTAATGGTCGTGTCAAGCAATCCTTGTCGCAGTAAAAGGGGAGGGGCAACGTTTCCTGTTCAGGAAAGCTGTTGTTGCAGTACTTGCAGAATCAACAGCAGCTACAAGACAGCCAAAACGGCAACGAGCAACAGTAGACATAGCGACTTGCGACGAAAGAACGCAGAGCCCGAAACCCCCGGAAAGGCTGTAGACTGTAGACCTTATAGATCACACCTAAAATCTCAAGGAGATGGTCACGAAGTCGGATGAGTATGCCGACCCCCTACCAGAAGGCGAGGAGGAGGAAGGCCTACACGCCATGCTAGTCGTCCGATGCGTCGGAGGTCGCGCTAACGCACCCTGGCTCCAAAAAGCAGAAAAGCTTACGATTGAGGCTGTCTTCACCCTACACTCCCAAACCTGCGTCCGAAAGCTCAGCGTTTCAATGTCTGGGGGGGTTCTTCCCTCCGGGCTTGGAGTGTGTTTCGCAGGATGGTTTGACAGAGCAAAAGCATGGGAGCTTCTCCGTAATTGTTTCTTCAAGAAGAAGCCGGTTTGGCTATCCGACCCAAACTCCTGTAATAGTAGCTTCCTTAAGAGCTCCTTACGAATTCCCGGCATCCGCGCTTTCTCGACAAGCCAAACCTAGCCAAAAGTCTCCCGAGGCCCGTGGAACGCAGACTTTGGGGTTCTATGGTAGGGTCCCGGTTCTTCTGTGAAACTCCCATGTAGTGCCAGGATCCATCGAGGCTCTTCCGGTTGTATCAAACACATGTGCGGTAGCGCATTTGCGTGGAAGGTGATCGAGACAAACGAGATCGATAAGGATCAGTTGAAGAAAGAAGTCTTCGATGGCCCATACCACTCTGTCTTCGGCGACAGGGTGAAGACATTAGGCAAGCCCTACCGGGAGATCATCGTGTACGACAAAGATCAGATTTATCCTGAGTATCTTGTACTTTACGAGAGGCTGTTCAAAAAATGAGGTGGGGTCACAAGATGTGATGCCAAGAAGCCTCAGTGAGCTCGTTAATGTACTGCCGACACCTGCACCAAAGTTAGTGCATGGTGTTTGCTCTAAGAACTCCACTGTTTACTCTTGTCCAAGTGGTTTCATTGTTTCTGCTGGCCAATCGCAGCCGAAGCAGAACTCCACGAGCCAAAGACCTCATTGCTCACTTGCGCCTTCGTGCCGAAAGTGTCCTCGTCCTCGTAGTTCCAGCGGATTCGCCCCTTGTTCTGCCGTACCTTGTCACAAGTTGTCGCTGAGTCACACGCAGCTGTCATTGACTCACAGAGGTCTTGCCCAAGAGGAGTTGGAGCCTGCAAGGCACGTCGCCGTGGTTACTTGACATCTTGCCCCGAATGTGAGACTGCAGTGACTCCCAATAGTTTGGGCATGTTTCGGACTATAGTACTTGGCAAAAGTCTGCTGGTTCACAATATCTGTCGTTGCAGGGGTAGTGCTTGTAGTTTCAGACGCAGACAAACGGCGGCACTAGTGGGCGTAAGCTATTTTTGGCATATAATTTCATGACAGCTGATGTTGCACGATGGCTCTGATCGGCTGTATATCTCGAGTCAAGGGCTGCGGTTGCGTAGGGTTTTGAGGCTTTGCAGATATTACCGTTTGGTGCTATACTACAGACTCATGACCATGACGACAAGACACAGAAAGCAAGCGAGTAAGTGCTATGACTCTAATCGATTCGAGACTGCCAAACACATTTCAGTTATCTGCTGATGGCAATCATGTAATGTAGGGGCCTTAATAATTAGAACTTCTTTTTTTTTTTGGGGGGGGGGNNTATAATATACCCCAAACCCTAGTCTGACTATGAAGGCTCCTATATTAACGAGGAGCCGTTCCTCGTATTAGGTGTTGCTAGGCCAGACCCAAAAGTCAGGCGGACGCTGACGGAGGAGGAGCGCAAGGTGGTGGCAAGGGAGGCGCTGATGCCGAGTTATTGAGGGTTTACGGAGTTTTGGGTTTAGAGGGCTTTGGGGAATGAGAAACTTTCATAACCCTTGTAGTATTCTGTTGAAGACCACTGCAGATATCCTTGACTCAAGGACGTGACCACAACTTTCTATACAAGATCAAGCCGAACCCGAAACCCTAAACCCTGA